TCCACTCCGATGTCCGTAATGACGTGGCCGGTACGGTTATTGACATTGATGGTAAATCATTAAACTGAGAATGGATTTCAAATCTCAAACCATAAATTTTAGTTAAAAGTTCGTGAATGCATCACAAAATAGAAATGTACCGTGCCGATTCAAATTTCGGACACTTAAACTCGAATTTCGGACACTTTTAAAAGTTGATTATCTCGGTCGAATATGATCCACATGTCTTGTAAATTTTAAATTTTTTTGACTAGTGCCCTCCACGATCATCTAACATTATTAATTTGTTTCTAACTGGATGTAATATTTAATTAAAAATGAAAGTGTCCGAAATTTGAATCGTCCGAAATTTGAATCGGAACGGTATACGAGTGCTAAAGAGGAATTTTTTGTCCCTATTAAAGGTTTTATGTAATCAGATTAAAGGAATATATTATTTTAAATATATGCGTATTGGAGACTGGACACACTTGACCCCTGAGGACACTTGATTGACTTGAGAGTATGTATAAAGTTACATGAGGAGTTTCAGTATAAATCAATGTAAATCCGCATAAAAATATGATTTTTTTTGCTGATATGTATCCAAAATTAAAACAGGTGATCAAGTGTGTCCACTCTCCCCTTGTCTTATAAGTTTTTTTAAAAATATTTTCATTTAATTTTTTTATGAACATATTGGTGTGGTTGTGTACAAGACACGATCGCATGGTTGACGTAGACTACGTATTCAATTTCTCATGCATTTTTCTTCACCTTGATTAAAATACAGTAGAAGTAACCTATTATATCGGTCCTATGTACATTTTTTAATATTCATACCATCAAATTTCGCCAATGCCCAAGATCACGCTTGATTTTCGTACACAAAAATTCAACAAGCAAACAACTGCGGGTTGATTTTGCAAGCTGTGATATCGCAGCTCGGAATATCAAGCTAACAAAACTCACCAGCTGCAAATCTCAACAAACTGTGGTGAGATTAAGTTTCTTGATTTTTCCTTCACACTCGAACCCAACCGAAACTTCCATAACGACTGGCAGCAGTCACTTCGTGTCTGCCATCGGTGAAGAGTAAAAAGTGATAGCAAACTATGCTTTCTCTTTCTAAGAAAACGATGTGCAACGGAATCATTTTTATGTCGAGTCAACTCTCAGCTTGATTTTTGGACGTTGTGAATAGTCTCGCAACATCGCAGCTCCTTGCTTGTAAAATCAATAACAAGTATGATATTCTGTTTCAATACCACGCGTGATATTGAGAGTGTATGAGAGTGGAAAAATATCATTTGATTGATGATTTTGCCAACACTGCTATGGTTTATGGTATCTATTTATTTTTTCCTTGCTTTATGTGTACGAGAGTGCAAGTCAATAGAAATGGGAAAGGATGCTCATTATGCACTTTCCTCTCCTATTTTTAGAAGACTGTGAATTTTCTCAAATTAAACGTATGGTTTCCAATAAATAAGTAGGTACAACATTAATTGAAAATTAGGGAATTCATTTCAAAATCAGAGCAAAAGCTCGTATACAGATTAGCATCCGAAGTCCCTCCTTTTTAACATACTCTGCACAAAAGGTACTTTCTCACCCTAACCTAACCCTAACAATATTTCCTACCGTTTTATGAATGGCTAAGAAAGTATCTTTTGTGCAGAGTATGTAAAAAGGAGGGACTTCGGATGTAAATCTAAATGCATATATGTATAGAGGTACTAGACATGTTTTACAGTGTCAGATACACTATTCTGTAGTTGTTGAAGTAAATCATAAATCAAATATCATCAAAATACATAACAAGCTCGAGAGAGAGAATTTTCGTTCTCAAATTTGAATTTTTTGCTCTCTGGTTAGTGGTAGGTAAAATATTATTCGGTGGGTGAATATGCCAGATTAAAACGTCGTAATATAATCGTACCTGAAATACCTAGAACTCTTGCCGTTTCCATTAAGTTTTAGGTTATTGGTGCTGAGCACCAATGGTACCGACGCGCCAAGAAGGCAGCTCCCACACCTGGACCCTACCTATCGACCCATCAAACTCATGAACCGAGACCAACGGCTTTCTTCCCCGTGATCAGAGATGTTATGCCTCAGAACATCCCGGCGGTGCCGACTGGGATTGAACCCAGGCCTGCTGGGGTGAGAGGCAATCACGCTTACCACTACATCACCGGCGCCGTTGAGGTCAGAAATAAATGATTGACGCTATTTTGGAATCCAAAAATGAAAGAAGTGTCAAATATTTAACATTGTTGGTATTTTCGGAATAGAGACGACGCGTAGCGGCCGGAAATTGATGATTGTCGCCATGTCGGAATAAAAGATGGCGGATTTGTGAAAAAGTGTCAAATACCCTACAATATGGGTATTTTTGGTACTATGACAACATATGGAGGCCGGAAATGGATGATAATGCCAATTTATAATCCACGATGACAACTTCCGGTTTTTTTTTCAAATTTATGAAATGGCATCAATCATCTATTTCCGTCCTCTTCACGTCATCCCCGTTCTTAAAATACCCGTATTGTGGGGAATTTGACACTTTTTACAAAACGGAAGCCGTTATCTTGGATTCCGAAATTGCGCCAATTATCTAAATTCCAGCTTCTACACGTCGTCCCCGTCCCGAAAATATCCATATTGTGGCGTATTTGACAATTTTCCACAAACTGGAAGTCACCATATTGAATTCCAAAAGGTCGTCATTCACTTATTTCAGACCTCCACAAGTCGTCCTCGTTCCAAAAATATCCATATTGTGTGATATTTGACACTTTTCCACAAACCCGCCATATTTTATTCCGACATGGCGACAATCATCTAACCGGATGTTACCATTTTGGATTCCAAAATGGTGTCTACTATTTATTTCCGGTCTCTACACATCGTCTCAGTTCCGAAAATATCCATATTGTGGGGTATTTGGCACTTTTACAACCTTTGAAGCGTACACAGGAAGTTTATGTGCATACTAGTGCAACGTAGTGAGAAAGATCTGAACTAATATGGACACCGTCTGAAAGGACATGGTCACCTGAACAACTTTGCTCAAGACAGTAACCTTCTATATGTCAAGGATCTCGAGATACAGCTTATACAAAAAGTTCATGCGCACACTAGCGCTGCATAGTGAGAGAATTCTGAACTAATCTTTTTAACATCCGAGAGGCCTTGGCCACCTTAAAAAACTTTGCTAAAGACGGTGACATTACATATAGCCAAGTTTACGAGATATCCCGTACTGGAAATATCATGAACATGTACCACTTTCGCTCCCAACGTTTTCTGGTTTCCGGTAAATTTTGTTCGCATTAAAAGTGGTACATGTTCATCAGGCACTTAAATTTTCCAGTTCTTCAGCCACATTTCGTTATTTTTTGTATGATCACATTTGCAACAGATTTATGCAATTTAGTTGAGAAAATTTGACGAATTGATTTTACTGGAGTATTTTGAATATTCTCCGGTATAATTTACTCTAGTGGATATGTACCATTTTTGCTCGTAACGGTTCAAATATTTTAGGAGCAATCTTTTACCACGCAGCTAGAGGTATCTACATAAAGGTACATGTCACTGATGTGACCGGTACTTGAAACCAGACTCGCTAGTAGTATGAAAGTATGACTGAATCCACAGCATTCCTTATGCCAGTTCGGATGAGGCTCGCTTTTCATACAGAAAACGTTAACGCAGATTAATACAACCACAAGCCTAGTTCATTGACACCACCGAAATTAGGCGCTCTCATGTGTTGCATGAATAACGATACAGAGGGAAATTCCCTAAACAATTTCACCCGTGGCCAATGCTGCACCCATTCGTTACGGTTGGTGTCAGTGAAAATTAGGTGAAGGACATTGCACACATTTTTTTCGCCCTGTATGTACACAACAGATTTTCTCCGCATAGTATCGTTAACTCTAGACGGGCAGATGCGGCCGGGGAGCTACAATCTCTTCCATGAATGATAGACATGTGTATATACCTCTCTCAGTAACCGAATGAACCGGAAAGGCATCGAATTGGTTACGTTGTGTTCATTTTGAGCTTATGGTTTATCCAGTATATAGCGTTAAGGTCACTTTTGCAGTTCATTCTGATAAGGAACAGCTTATCAGTGATAACACCATCCATTGGGAGGACGAATGGTACCGGAGCGGCCAAAACAAACACATGCCGTGAGGGATGGGCTTCGAAGCATGCGCAGCTTTTCCACGTGGAACTTGTCCTCTCAACACGGCAATTCGTGCCCTCTTCGAAAGTTCATTTTCGAAAATCGAGCATAGGAGAAAATCCGTCAGCGATGAGAGGATTCCCGACTGGAGGATGCTGTGCTAGTTATTTCGAAAGTGTGTGGTGCAACCTTGGTGCTGCCGTTGTCTGTTAGTGAGTGAGTCTCGTGTTTGCATCATCGTCGGTCACGCAATTTTCGTCTGCTGGTGCGACCACATGGGAGGATGATTGGAGATGGCCTAGAAGGTATAATTGGTCCCGAAACTAATTGGTGGGTGGTTTTTGGTATTCACGAAACAATTGATGATGTAATTTACAGTGAGGTTCGTTGCTTTAATTAATAGTTTATTGGTGAACGGCGTAACTGTAACGAAGAATATATGTAATCAAGTGAAGAAAAAAAAAAACTCCTTTTTGGACAAAAAAATGTGTGCCATTAGAGGGGCAAAGGCTGCTGATGATCCTGTCTCACTCACACAGCAGCACGAATCAATTGTCAAAAACAATATTTCTTTTGACTAGTGACACACAAAAAGCAAGGAGACTAGAGCAAAACACATCGCAGTGTGCTCCAGCATCCACCCATCGCGTGCCTACCAGCTGTATTTGGATGTGTAAGTGCGTCCTAGTGTGTTGTTCGAAAGAGTGCGCACCGAGAGTTGTGTTGGTGTCTTGGCTATAGGGAATTAAGTTCTGGAGCGCGCCCGAATGTCTGCACAAATCGGTCGCGTGTAAATCAGTTCGCTCGTGATCCTTGCCGCAGTTGGTCGTGTTTTTCGCTGAAGACTTTGAAGAAGGCCCATCGACGCCACACCTTGGTAGTCCTTGATAGCCACCTACATTAGCTGGATCAGTGCAGTGTCTTCGTGGACGTACGGCGTGGAGACGTTCAGCTTTTTGACATATTTAGGTGGAAAAATAGTGCAAAAAGGTTTATTTTTTTCTCTCACTCCTGGATGATTCCATTGAGAACATAGTTGCTGAACCAAGAAGGATCGCGTGTGTTGGCCTCATTACGGTGGTATTAAAAATTGTTTAAAGCCGGAAGAAAAGTGCTACCAGATAATAGCAACTACTACACACGTTGGGGTTAGTGCTCGTTGCATGACTTCGTGAGATTCTCTTTCCCAGTGGCCGTGTATGGGGTGTATGTGTCTGATGTGAATAACATGGGGAATTATAATATCAAAAATAATAACTAAAAAAGTTAAAGCAGCAGTGGCGAAGAAATTGGAAAAGAAAATTAAGCACGCAAGTGGTCACCCAAGTTCTGCAGTGGAAAATTGTGGTACGCTTCCGAAGTGACGTGACCGCTGAGCCGCGTACTGTCGGTGATCGGAGAGTGAGAGTGAGGAGCATTTGGGAAGGAAATCCGCTTTCATGCAAAGTGTAAACGCTAAAGCGAAACTGAATAGCGAATTTTCTGACGCAGCAAAGTGGTGTAGTGAGAATGTGTACACTATTTGGATCTGTTTGAAGTGAGAGCTCCCCGTTATGTACGTATGCAGCTAATCTGTTTGCAGCAAATTATACCCAATAGGCTTGCTAAATGTTTTTGTGATTAGTGCAATTAGTGGTCGAGATTTGCCTCTCGATAGAATTGGTGTAATTGTTGAATAAAACTAATTGATTCTAGTAACACCTGTGAGAGCTGTTTCAACTGATGCCATCATCGGAATGTTTTATAATTAGTTAAGGTGAGTGTACATTAGAGCTTGTGGAAGTGATTTAAATGTGCATTTTCGTATACAACACTTTTGATTACATTAGCCAGTGTGAGTAGATTTTATATGTGTTGGCTGGTTGTTTGATATAGTAAAAAATATCACTACACATCACAAACGTTGTTCGTTTTTAAAAAGGGGAGTTTTTAGAGAAATACAAATATTTCACAAATGTTCATCCTGCGAAACTGATTTATCCATCTCTGCCCGATATGCATCTGTAGGATTTGGCGATGGAAGTAGCTGATTGATTAAAATCCTTCGGTTTGTATTTTTTGGATATTATTTTTTATGATAAAAACTTTAACGTACTTTGTTTTATTATCTTGAAATAACTAAAAATATGTTTATCAACTTGGGTTTCAAGAAGATAAATAATACATACTCTCTACCACCATTAACAACGGATTTAGATAAATTGATACAATTTGCAGTGTTTGATTTGGTTTAGAATTGTGATTTTTTATGTTGTGCTTGGTTTAGTGAAATTAGTTACTTGATTTAATTTTGTGTCGCTGAATCTCAAAATCAAATATATTTATTCATACTTTCCCAGAGCAGCTATAGCTGGCGTGGATTTTGCGTTTGGCGAGGACTGCATGCTTTTTTATTTGTCAGCAGAGCGGATTTGGGTGGAAATAATATCAAACAAATTTTAACCTTTTTTATATTTTTCCTTTAATTTATCAATTAACTTTACTTTAATGTTTTCATATTCTGACTAATAAAATCATGGTGTCCAGCAAGATTCTGATCGACATTGTAGAATTGAGATGTATATTACACTTAAAACTGCTAACATTTAGAAGGAAATGTTAATGATTTTGCTTAGATGTCATAAATTGTTCTACTATTTTCAAAAGATTTTTTTTAAGAAAAAAAAAGAATCTTCAATTCTTATCTATATTTTTAAGCATTTTTTTGTCATTCCCCGGGATTCCAAGAATTTACAGGAAATCTTATTTTATGTCTTGATTCGATGATGTTTATTTCCGAGAATATTGGAAACCCTACATTTTATGTTAAGGATCAGAATCGTCTTGACCTGAAACAATAGGTTTCTCGTTACCTCTTTACATTTGTATACGTTTACATGGACCTTTAGATTCATTCATGTTACAACCAGTCCTGAAAATATCGACCATATACGACGATATTGACAAAACAGCTAAAGATCCTCTTGAAGGGAAATTTGGTCAATTATCAGTGACGATCATATGCAGTTTTTGTTGGCATCTAATTTTGTAACGAAATTGAATGAATTAAGCAACATAAATCCATGCAGCCGTCAAATTGAACTAGCATCGAACTACCTAGATGAAAATAATAATATGAAAGAGATTGCATGAAATTACCAAAAGAAATAAAAATTACTGAGGTATATGTTAGAGTAAATTTTTCCAGTGACAATGTGACAGTGACAAAAACAATTCTTTCAATATCGCGTGAAAACTTTCAATGACAAAGACAATTCTCATCACTGGTCACAACGAATGTGGCCCTCGTTATAACTACCTTCATAGTTCTTATTCACAGAACTACCGGAAACCAGTGATGTTATGATAGATGTGTAACCATTGCTGCGTACTGTCAACAACGTCAGTTGGCGTAAGATATTGTTCCAGCATTGAATTTCGCTTCCGATACTGATAATCGTAGTATCGAGCGGTATGGCTTTGACATAGAAATTCATATGAATGTCACTTACTCTAACTCAATATTAATAAATATTAAATTCACTGACATTGAGGCGAATGACATTGATAATGGAACTATGTGAGCTGATACTGACATCAGGAGGCTAGAGAAAATCAGCATTTTATAGGTATTGATATTGATATTTTGCAGTTCTGTGTGTAACCCTACTCGTTTGGAACTAACCTTTGCGCACTTGTAAGAAATAATGATAAATAATGATTACTTTCAATAACTGGTTTACCTGCCCGAGTAAAGCTGGAGATTAAATTGAAATCAAAATTTGCGGTTATGTAACTTACTTTGAATTCTCCAGTTGATCTCATTTCGGTTGACTTAACGGTTAACACAACAAAATTTAAAGCACAATTTTCACTGCTGAAACAAACGGAAAACTATTTTTTGCTTTCATTTAAAAAGTCTTGACAGCATAATGAAAGCACAATTTGATATCAGACTTATGTCGCGGCAATTGAAATCAAAATGAGTTTTTATTATGATATGAACTGCAAACTTTAATATCGATTTGCTTTCGTTTTGTTAACCGACTTTGCTCGGGTCAGCAGTTCCAACCACCATGACATCACTTCCACCACCATGACATCACTGCCGGACGTTCCCAAAACTTTGGAAAACCTTGGCTGTAGAATACTAAAAACAATCTCCAGAGCACCCACAACTACTAAAACAAACGGGACTAAAAGAATCTAAAGTATCTACAACTACAATAAATCCTGAAACTCTGACATTCTGAAGTTTTGATAGTTCCGAAGACTCCTTAAGTTTCAAATTCAAAGTATCCTTAAACGGGGTAACTTTGATAGTTTTTGAAGTATATTCTAAATATGTTTTACATCTATTTATGTTTTCCAAATATATATTTTTTAAAACAAGTACTAAGTCAATTCGTTAGTAATATGTTTATAGAAAATTATTGCGAACATCAGTTTTTTATTGTGGAGAAGGAAAACATGCGTGAATCTCAAACAATATAGTTTAAGAAATATTATACTTTGAATAAGTATATATTCAGACACATCATAAGCAATAAGAAGACATGATTGAATTTGTGATGGCTGTATAGGAAATACATTTAATAAGTGATCGTTGAGTGACTTTTTAATTAGGTGAAAAATAAGAAAATGTTTTTTTTTTATATTTGGAAAACATGTAGTTCATGCTATATAAAATCTCTTTACGATATCAAAGGTTGTTTCCAATTCCGAAATAGTGCTGAGTTTAGTTAATTATCATTGTTTTTCCCATTAAATCATTTGTATGATACTAAATCGTTCAATGAAATGAAATCAGGGGCCTCATTGCGGAAGTCAGTGTTCACTCGGCTGTCGACAGAAGCAGGCCACTCTCGATGTGTGTTGTGCAATTGTTTGTTTACTCTGCAGCAACCATTGTGTGGTCCTCCTCATTGTTCTTCATCAGTAGTTCTTTCGGTCGATGCGTCTTCGACTTTGGAAAGCAACCGTTTCGTGATGAGTGTGTGAGTGTTGACCACGTTTTGCGTCCACCGTTGGCGATAATGCCATACAATGAAACCACTGACTGGATGCGGCTCCCGTTCTGATGGAGGAGGCTTATTGGACAGCAGAAGAAAAAGTGTTTATTGTGTTGTACCTTTGATAAAACAAAAATCCTCGGCTCTGTAAAGTTAATTGGATTGAGCCTTATCAAATAAATTTATAAACAAAATCATGGTGGAAGTCGACACGAAGCATTTTTTAAATGGACACTTGGAGTTAGTTGTTTCGACTTGCGAAATGAGGCACCTGATTTTAGATTCGGATTTCACGAATCAACATTAAGTCAGTTGAGTATTTTCCGCACACAGCACTGGAATAAATGCTGATTATTATTGGATTTTGAGGAACAGTTAATAGATGAAAATTTTATCACTTCCTTGTTAGGGAGAACCTTCTAAAAGTACTATTTAAAACTACTTAAATAAAACAATATCATGAAAATGGTTTTGTGGAGAACCAAAAATTGAACGGTGTTGTGATCAACTTCACCCCGTTTTACGGTATATGAAATTTCTAAAGCTTATAATGTTCAGGAAGTCCTAGAAATCCTTAAGTTACAAGAGTTTACAGTGTGCCGGGATTACCTTCAGTACACACTTACCGGAATTTGATGGCGTACTCAAAGGTAGATAAGTGTCTTGAATTCCATAACTCAACCAGCAAATTTAAGATTCTATTACAGATTTGCATGAAAAGTATACAGAATTTGCAATGTTTTGCGGCATGTAGAGATTCTGTAATGTGGTCGCCGGAAAGGTTTTTTTTTAATAATTTTAAATTTTTCTGTTACCTTATTTTTCGAACAAAGTTTGTTTCTTCAAATGCATTACGTCTAGAAGATGAAGGTTTTATACAAAAAATATGCATTTTGGAAACACTTTCTGCAGTCCATGGCAAAAGCTGTCATTACATTTGATGTACGAAACATATGTAGAGGATGTAATACATCCAACCTTACATTAGATATAAGAGAAATTTGTTTTGCGTGTACATACTAAATTACTTGGGTTGATATCTCTAAGATTTGTTTGAGAATACAGTTTCATAGCGCTCCAGAAGATTCAAACAAGCTTGAAAGTGGTCTTATTATAAAACTAAGCCCTTAATTTATCTCTCAAAACCTTTTCGTTGGTTCAAGAATAATATGGAGTCATGTGTCACGTGACCTGAACATGGATCCTGAAAGTCATCGGAAGGTTCGTCATCCTTTTGGTAGAAGAAATCGTGGTGCTCTAGGATTAATATCACGAATTGGCCACCTCTACTAGTGGGTGATAATTAATTATTCCTAATGTTGAAAAGTGGTTTGAACTTTAGGACATTAGAATAAATGCAATCACTTCGGGTTTTCAGTATTTTAATATGCAACATTTCAGCTTTATTTTTCAAAATTCTTAGCCCAAAATATTATTTTTTACGCTGTTGGCAGCCCTGCAACCAGACAGATGCAGGCGATTTGTGTTTTGAGTACTTTTAGAAATGCGCAAAATTGCAAAAGTTTTATCTGGTCACAGCACGGGGTGATGTCCCCAGCTAATTCAAGTTTGTTTTCGACGATAAATTCGCTCGGAAACTGATGAAATGGCCGCTCAGGTGGGAATTCCAAAGATAGTCCGCGAGTTATTTCGAAAGCCAATTTTGCAATTTTTTAATGAATAAAATTAATTTCATTTTGACTAAATTACATGTATCTTACGTCATATCAATCTTGGTTTTATGTGTCCGGATCAGCGAATCCAA